TGTGGACTGAAGGGTCCCAGGCTCGATTCTGGTCAAGGGCACGTGCCCAAGTTGCAGGCTCCATACTCAGTAGGGGGCGTGCCGGAGGCAGCCGATCAAGGATTCTCTCTCATCATAGATGTTTCTCTCCCCCCTATCAACTCCCCTCTTTCTCCCTTCTTCTCTGAAATCAATTAAAAAAAAAGAGAGAGAGAGAGAATGGCATGAGGAAAGATATGGCTAGCTGGAGATAGTTAAAGTACCCGAGATCTTTTTAAAAAGTGGTAGTTAGATATAGTTAGTAAGATATGGGGTATTTGAAGATACTAATTAAAGGTAAACACAGATCAGATACTTCAAGAAACTTTAAAGGAAACAGCTGATTATCATGTGTGTTTTGTTGTTGTTGTTGTTACTTTTTTGGAGTGTTTTGTATATTGCCTAAATATTTTTACTATCAACTCCAACTTGTTAACTTCTATCATTTTTACTGCCAGTTCTCACCAACAATTTCCTGGAATGGAATTGAAAAGAGTAAAGAAAGGAACAAAAAGCTGTCTTAGGGTGACATATACTACATTTCTTTTGTCTTTAAACATTTCATTTAGCTTATTTTTGCCTTTACAAACTTTTGAAGCAACAATTTAAACTTTGGAGAATACTTTATGATTTAAAGGGGAAATCTCTAGCTATTTCAGATATAACTGAGATCGGAATATTTACACATTGAATGCCTCAAGGCAGGTAAACATTTGTCCTTTGGGAAGAGGCCTTGGTGAAAGGGCCCTGTGACAAAATGACTTTGGCTCCTGGGTATCTGACTGTACTGCCTGTGCCATCAAATCTCGAAAATACTGCTTCACCCTTCCCAGCCCCTTCCTCCTCCTCCTCCTCCTCTATCAATACTTGCTAAGCTCTTTAGGACAGCAGTGGCATTAGAAAGTTCTAAGAGAACATTCACTGGATGTAGAAAAAGTAATTCCTAGCCTGATCGGTTTGGCTCAGTGGATAGAGCGTTGGCCTGTGGACTGAAGGGTCCCAGGTTTGATTCCCGTCAAGGGCATGTACCTTGGTTGCGGGCACATCCCCAGTGGGGGATGAGCAGGAGGCAGCTGATCAATGTTTTTAACTCTCTATTCCTCTCCCTTCCTCTCTGTAAAAATCAATAAAATATATTTTTAAAAAAGAAAAAAGAAAAAGTGATTCCTAGACAAAAGGCTTAGAAAACAAGTTATGGAGGGAAAGGAGGGGCCTTGGAGCTTGGAGTGAGGAAGCTGATGGTAAGGTGCCTGGAGGGAGAGGGGAAAGGGAAAGTGGGGGAGGGGAAAGGCACCCTGCCTGCCCCCAGGAGGGATAGTGCCCACAGACTAGTTATGTATGGCACCAGAGTTTAGTTAGTTTTGGTCAGTCTTACAGAAAGTATTAATAAAAACGTAATAGAGGCTATTTCTAAGTAATTTTTAAAAACCATTCTAATTGTAGGAAAGTACTGGCATTGAGTAAATTTTGAAAACACAGCAAAATCCTATTTTAATAGAAATGACAGCTTTTAGGCAATGAGGTTACTCATTCAGTAATAAAAATATTTTGAGGTAGCCTGTTGGCTACTAAGATTTGCATTATACTGGCCTTTGAGCTTTTATGCATTTTAATCCATACATGAAGCAGAAAAAGAAAGACTATGGAATGGACTAATATTTTATTGTCACTTCACCGGTTTTCTAAAATATTGTTCTTAGATTGATTTGAGATTTTTACATTTTAAAAAATTGAGATATAATTGACATGTCACATTTTATTAGTTCAGGTGTACACCATAATTCATTGTATATATTGCAAAATGATCACCACAGTAAGTTTAGTTTACATTCGTCCCCATACATATAGTAACAATTTTTTTTTTCTTGTGATGGGAACTTTTAAGGCCAATTTTCAAATATGCACTACAGTAGTGTTAACTATAGTCACCACATTGTACATCACATCCCCATGATTTATTTTATACCTAGACATTCATACCCTTTGACCAACAATCTTTCTTATTTTAGAACTAGAGGCCCAGTGCACAAAAACTGTGCACGGTGAGGCCCCTAGGCCTGGCTGGCGGTCAAGTTCCCTGTATCCTCCTTCCCTTGCTCCCTCAAGGCCCCGCCATGTTCTGTGCTTAACGCCCCCCGTGGTCATAGCGAGTGATCGAATTCCCGATCTCGCGGATCAACTACCAAGGGGACAATTTGCATATTGGCCTTTTATTATATAGGATTGTATATTTTAAATTTCATTGGCAAAGTTTTGAACTAGCTTAAAAATCCTGTAATCTCACCGCACTCTACTGAAAACAGTTAAAAAGGTTTATAAAGCCCTAAACACAATATATATTTTTTAAAATAGAACATCACACAGCATATGAAAGAGTTCTTATTTTACTCATCGGGCGCATTAGTTTAAAGAAAAATGGGCCACTTACTCTGCGTGATGAGGAACCACTTCTTCCTGAAAAAACTTCCTTACACTTTCCCGGAAAAGGTCATGCTCTGAAGAGAAGATTCTTCTAATTCCTATATCTGTTAATTTTTTAGCAGAAGAAGTTTCTAGACGATGCTCCCCTCCGGAATGAGAACATCTTAAAAAAAAAAAAAAAGAAAATTAAGTAAATTGCTACCCTTCATACCCAAATGAATGTCACTAAACACTATGAAAAATCTTGATCTTTTTTCCCTCCAAAGACACTAGAGACGGGAGAGTCTGAAATTTGACAAACCTGTTCAAATTTGAGCATCACCACTTTTGAGAGGATCTACCTTGCCTGGATGAGCTTAAGAAGTAATTTACTCTTATCTAATGATCTCTTCACTTCCCAATATATAAAGAGGAAACCATGTCTACAACTAACTACATGTGTGAGGTAAGGCAAAGTAGTGTTGTCAATGATGCAGATTAAATTACATAAGATTCAATTATTACAATAAAATAATACTATGAAGACTTCATGTCATGTACAATAATGCAACTCTCTCCAAATTAATATTTTTTTCCAGAATCCTGTAATTTCAAATGGCAGGAATATAAGATATAAACTATGTTGAAGGCGCCCCGAGGGGTGGGTGCTGCCCGGAGGGAGGGGTGGGTGCTGCCCTGGGGGGGGGTGCTGCCCGGAGGGTGGGTGCTGCCCTGGGGGGGGGTGCTGCCCGGAGGGTGGGTGCTGCCCTGGGGGGGGGGTGTGCTGCCCTGGGGGGGGGTGCTGTTCTGGGGGGGGTGCTGCCCGGAGGGGGGTGCTGCCCGCAGGGTGGGTGCTGCCCGGAGGGGGGTGCTGCCCGGCGGGCACTCACCTGGCGGCGCGCGGCGGGCTCGGGCGGCCCCAGCGGCGCAGGGAGCGCAGGAGCAGGCGGGAGGCCATGGCCGGCAGCGGCGCAGTGACGGCCAAGGGCGCGCGGGCGGCGGGGAGGCCGGGAGGGGCGGGGAGGCCGGGAGGGGCGGGGAGGCCGGAGTGGGAAGGGCTGGCCCGGCCCGGCCCACGGAGCAGCCTCGGGGCGGAGCCGCCGGTGGCCACCCCGCTCCCAGCACCGCGGTCTCCCCTCTCCGCTCTGCGCTCTCCCTGTCCCAGCCCCGGCTCTTTGCAGAATTCCTGAGCCCCTGGAGACACGCGGGTAGCCAGGGAGCTTCGAGATGGACCCACACTCAAACCCACATAAGTTTTGTTTTGGTTTTGTCTGCACTGAAGATGGGTTTGCTCACTCAGACAACTGTACACGACTAGTTTAAAAGAATTGTGCTGTTATCTTTTTTTTTTTTCTTTATGGGTGAAGGTATCACATAAGTGTCCTCATTCTCCCACTCCCATCCCAAACCCCTCTCCACGCATGCCCCACCCCCCTGTTGTCCATGGCCACGGGCCAGGCCTATATGCATGCACACAAGTCCTTTGGTTGATCTCTTCCCCTGATCCCCACCCTCCCCCACCTTCCCTCTGAGGTCCGACAGTCTGATCGATGCTTCCCTGTCTCCGGGTCTGTTCTTGTTCATCGGTTTATGTTGTTCATCATTTTCCCTAGATGAGTGAGCTCATGTGCTACTAGAAATACACATATAAGAACAGAAAAGGAGACAAGCCATAATGGTTGTGCTGAGAGGCATATGAATCAGTCTGTAGTGAGTTTCTTTTTGGGCCAACCGTTCTTTTGAGACCCAATTTCACTGTCAAACAGTTCCTTATGTGTACATGATAGTCATGATATTTCAGGTCTGGATGGTGGACAATTTTTTTTTTTCTGGCAAAAACTAGTAACCACTTCCTTGGGGAAAAAAATGAAGATGTGCTCAGTATGCAAATAAAACTCTTTAGCTCAGTTCTCCAATAGTATTTGATTCGCATTCATGTCTTGCTATTTTCTCTTCCCTCAAGTTATCCAATACTGTTTGATAGTCTACATTTAAACTGAATGAAGTTTGAGCTACTGATATTGATGGGTTTGGTTTTTTGATTCTAGCACATCTCTGAAGGTTTTGAACTCTAAAAAGTGTGCAGGGTGGATTTAAGAACTGTAAGGCCATCTCAATAATTAAGGACAATTATCAAGGGCCTGAAAGGGCGGAAGTGAAAAAGAGGATTTGTGTTAGAAATTAAGAACTAACAACTAACCGAATGCAGGTTATAAGCAAGTGGAAAAAAATAGTAAGATTAATTCCAAACAGTAGCACGTGACTATTCGTTGACAGGGGCTATTCATTCCCCTCCACCTCTTCCCCCTCCCCCACCCAAGGCAGGCTTCCCAGAATTCTGGACTTGCTGGCTGGCCTTCTCCATAGCTCCACCATTAGGAATGTACTCCAGGGTATTTACTGGCTTCTTGGAACCAATGGGGATAATAAAACACTACTTGGGTGTGCCTCTGTGTGGTCTGAGAATCCCTACAGCAGCTGCTCTAGTTGGATGAGAATATCTAATGACGAAGTCCAGGACTCTGTATAGTAAACATGTCTTACAGGTGATTTTCTTTTTTCTTTCTTTTCTTTTTTTCCAGGCCTAATGTATCCAGTGTGCTTTTCTTGTATGAAAGCATGTGGCGGCCAAAGCTGGAGCCCAGGCCCTCTGCATGGAGACTGTCCTGTGGAAACTTGACTAAAGGTAGGTGAATTCCTGACACGGAAGCTTGGTCTCTGTAGAGGCGTGTGAGTGACAGAGATGTAGACCTTGCAGATGGCAGAAAAGGTGGCCTTGGCAAAGTTGCCTACGGTGGCAGTGTGGCCTCTGGCTTAGGTGGCAGTGCAGCCTCCTTCACACCAGTCATCCTCCACAGCTTATTGGGTCAACGGGCCCAGATAATGCCCCACGTGCCTGTGGGGGGAGGAATGAGGTGCAGCAGCAATGGCCTGTCATCTTGCCAGAGATGGCATGGGGGGGGGGGGGGGGAATCTCCATCTCCAGTAGCCTTGCCACCCAGCATCTATGGAGGGGAGGTATCACGCCCCACACATGGTGGTTACTATCTCTTCGGAGCACTTAGCACCTAGACTTATATGGCCATTATAGTCCCTGAGGGCAACAATGGCCTTGAACTTGTCCCAGTGGCCAGCTCAGGTCTGCTTTTGCATGGGCCTAGTCTTTTAAGATTTTGCCCCATTTGCCACATGTATGTTTTTGGTTTTTTTTTTCTATATCATTTGAGAATAAGTTGGATTCATCATATCCCTTCACCCCTAGTGCATATTCCCAGGAACAGAGGAGTTCTCTTAATAACCATAGCACAGTTATCACGTGCTTTAACCCTGATATAATATTCTTAAGTAATCAACAGTTCATGTTCCTGTTTTGACAAATGTTGCAACAATACCCTTTTGTTATAATGAATTCAGTTAAAATAAGACACAAGCAGAGACCAACCTTGAAAAGTCCCTGGGAAGACAAAACCAGGTTAGTCATACAAAGTTTCATTTGAACTAACTTGAAAATCAGATGCAAAACTTGAACTATTTCTCAAGGTCGATGTGAAATAACCACTGACCAGTTCCCTATCATTTGAGAAAATTCTAATATTATAACTGTGAAGAAGGAACAATCACTGTCTCCTCACTATGTAAGCTGCTTCATAACAACATTTCCCTGAATCTCATTCCACGTTATGATGGGAGTGCTTCCGGTCATTTTGAGGTGTGTGCAATAAACTTATATTGATTATTACTTGGGCGATTCTTTGGTTTCACTCTGCCTATTTCTGAGCTCTTGACAAGTGCAACTCTAGCATAGTTCCTCCCAACTTTCTTTTTCATTCAAGTCACTTGACATGTTTGGAAAAGTAAACGCAGGTATCTTGTAGAAAGGCTTGGTTGTCTTCAGGTTTCCTCACGCAGAATTGGTGCATAAGTAGCGTGACACCCTCTCAGTACAATGCACTAGGAGGCCCCTGAGGTTAGTTTGTCCTGTTCTTGGTGAGGTTAATTTGAACCTCCTTCATTTTAATCCCTTAATTTGGTTAAAACAGGGCCCACCAGGTTGCTTCACTGTAAAATGGCCGTGTCAGTTTGTGAAACAAGAACAAATACGCTTCCGAGTACAGAGTGATCCGAGCTAAAATGAAATGAAAGGTGTAGCAAACTAGGCAGATAATTTAGGCAACTTACCCAGTGTGTCATGAATGCTTTGAGCCATTGATATCTTTCTGGCACTTTTGCCTGGGAGCTCTACAAGGCATTCTTTTATTAACTGAAGTGTCCGTTAGGGGCCAGAGTAACTGGGAATGTTCCAATCAGTACATGCTAACTTTAGGCGGTGACAGAAGGGAAAGAAAGATAAGGACACTAGAGGAGGGTGGAACAAAATTTTGAAAGGATTATAGAAAACGAAGGAAGGAAGGAAGGGAGGGAGGAAGGAAGAAAGGAAGGAAAAGAAACCAGTCTAACTGGAAGGATATGTGCTGGGAAGAAGTAGGAATTCAGGTTCACGATAGGGAATTCAGATTTATTCACGAAATTACATGGGTTTGAGTCCTGTCTGCTCCCTACTATCTGTCAGTTGTCACTGGGATTAACTGGGCTGGTGCTTATAAAGAGCAAGGCACAGAGGTTGGCTGCACTGTCCCTCTTCAGTTATTGTTGGCCAGTATTTTTATTATTATTGAATATCACACCAGGGAATTTAGATTTGATGTGTAAGGAGTTAAAAGTCCTCATTTATTCCCTTACGAGAGGCCCGGTGCATGAAATTTGTGCAAGGGGCTCAGCCCTCACAGCCCCAGTTTCATCCGGAAGGACGTCCAGTCAATTAGCATATCGTGCTTTTATGATGATAGATTCAGTAAATGTTGACTTTCTTCCGATATGAAGGACAGATGCTGTACAAGATAAAAGCCCTGCTTTCAAAGACTTTGAAGTACAGTTGTGAAAATAAAGACTGTGAGGTGATTTAAAATATAAAACTCCAAGATAAATGCGGGAGTAAGCCAACAGCCCAGCGTAGGGAGCCGACACTGTGGGTGGCCTACTTGATTTGCTTCTTTTCTCACTTTGCTCTCATGGAATAGCAGAAAGCACAGGGGCTACAGCGTCCTGCTGATCAAGACGAAGGTTGTGTCAATGAATTTCTCTAAGCCTCTGCTTCCTTATCTGCCAAAATGAGATATTGATAGTATCAACTTCCCAAGGTTGTGAGACTAAAGGAAGGCAAAACAGGCAGAGCATTCAGTCTGGCAGCAATAGGAAGGAAGTATATACATAGCAGCATCGTTACTGTTTTACCTGGCTTAATGCCTAGGAGAGGCCACACTCTTCCCAAGTTGCCAGGGAAACCCATAGACCCTGCGCCTGACTTCTGGATTCCTTACATTTTGGGTAGCTAAAGCCTCCTGTCCTTCAACGGCCTCTCTTTCAAAAACGGAATGTTCAGAACATGTGGCCTGGGTTGGGGCTGGGGTTCGGAAGTGTTGAGTGGATGAGGAAGACGTCGTCTCTCAGGGGGAGAAGTAGTGAACAAACAGCTCACCCTGTGGACATGGAAGCCCAGGCCTTCCTGGTGTGCGGGGATGTCAGGGTTGTTAAGTGGAGAAGGAAGGGAAGAAAATGCAAAGGACCTTGGTGCCCATCCCTGGCACAGAACGGCAAGGGTAGATAAAGAACAAGTGCTGGAAGCTTGCTGCTGTGATGCAAGTGGCATCCCAGGGCAGATTTCATGAGCAGTGCTCATGGAGGAGCGACAGGAACAAAGTGTACAGAATCCAGCAGAAGCAGCCTGTCTTTGCCAGCCATGAAACGCTCTGCTCTGCCAGCTCTCTGGGCCTTGGCTGGTTGCCTGGGTCTATAGGCAGGTGTTATCCTGGCTACTGACCACGTGGTAGCTACAGATTATGGGTGAATGTTGCTCCAGCTACTAGGCCTCCTTGAAAGAGAACTAATATCTGGGTGAAATCCTAGGGATTTACCTTGATTACCCAGAAGGGTGATTTGATTGGGTTGTCGTTGTTTTTAATCACCCAGAGGGAGATAGACACTGAAAAACGTTTGGGTTATGAATGTTCACCCAGCTCTTTTTTTGTTGAAACGCAGGTTATCTATGCTATAGTAGCGAATGGAAATTGTAGCCCCATCTTACCTTCCTAGATTGCAAAGAGTTGAACAATAATGTCTTGCTTTCTCAATTTAAAGGTATTTACCTTCCAGGATATTTACCAAAGTAACTTCATGATCTCTATAAAGCAAGCCATACATTTGAAGGTAATTATATCTAAATATTCACTCACATAAGATATACAGATACAGATTCCTTGATCTGTTCCAAAGATGTATAATCTTGCTTTAGAGATTACCTTTGTCCTGGTACACTATTGCAAAATTAGAGCCATACTAAACATATCCCCAGAGGTGAATAGTTGAATTCCAGTGGGATGGGGGAATAATTTTTTTCTCCTTTTCTAATATTTTTGAACTTTCTTCCTACTACAGAAGACAATTTGATCATAGTTTGATCACAGAGGAACTTTGTTTATAAATAATATATTTAGGTTGCTCACAATTAAAGTCCCTTGAAAGTACCATAGCAGCAAAGATTGGCTCTCCCTCTAAAATTAGCATTGCTTGGCGATTCTAAACATGGTCTCTTCTATTAGGATTATGAAACTTGGAACTAATTGCTTGTACTTTATTTTGAATAGGTACTTTATTCAAAGGAAACTCTCTGAATGAATTTTAGCCTATTTGGCCTGTACACCCCTTAAGATTCTTTTTGTCATAAAACAAGTAACTGTGGAAAAGTTCAAGATGGGTGAAGGTTCTCCATTTCCCCACACTCTGATGGCAGGTTGTAATACAAGCCAGTCTCTGACCAAATTCTACCACTGAGACATGCATTTATTAAACATGTATTTGCAAGCAAGCACAAAACAATTCACACTACAAGATAAAAACCCCAGCTCCTTGTCCTCTTGAGTGCTTGGATGACCTTTACATAAAAGTCTACTTCAGTGGTTCTCAACCTTTCTAATGCCGCGACCCTTTAATACAGCTCCTCATGTGGTGGTGACCCCCAACCATAAAATTATTTTTGTTGCTACTTCATAACTGTAATTTTGCTACCGTTAATGAATCGTAATGTAACTATCTGTGTTTTTCGATGCTCTTAGGTTCTACAGCAGTGGTTCTCAACCTGTGCATTGCGACCCACAGGTTGAAAACCGCTAGCAGGGTCACTATTACAAATATAATTGACATCATAAATCCAGTGATGGACACAGGACCATTTGAGGACCAAGCGCACGTGGGATGTGACTCATTCCTTTGTCCAGAGTATCCATGCTGAATATGCCACCTGCCTGTTAGTCACTTTGTAGTGACTTCACTTATGAGCTTGACTGTCACAATATCTCAGTGCTTGTGTTCAAGTAACCCTTATTTTACTTACTAGTGGCCCCAGAGCACAAGAGTAGTAATGCTAGCAATTCAGATATGCCAAAGAGAGGTCAAAAAGTGCTACCTCTGAGTTCAGAGTATACATGGGGTTTGGTATTATCTGTGTTATCAAGCATTCCCTGGGGATCTTGGATTGTATTCCCTACAGGTAAAGGGGTACAACTCCATCTTTGAGTTGTGGCTTCTAGGGTTGTCAAGAAAAAGGAAGAGAGTGAGCAGAAAATCTAAAGGGAGTCTTGACTTTAGGGCCAGGCCTTGAAGTAACCTATATTCTTTTGACTAATGTTCCATGGGTTATAACTAGTCACATGACCCCATGTGGCCTTACTGGGCTCCATCCCGATTGAGGAGGCCGAAAAATACTGTCTTTCTTTGTACTCAGGAGGAAAAAGAAAGGGTTGGTGACCATACAGCCCTGACAGCATATATGCCATCTTCACCTAGTAAAATCCTCCCAATAGATGTGCTTTTCTGTATTCTCATTTAAAATTTTTGATTTGTTGAGTGAAATTTCTGTGTTTACCTTATTCTCTTTTTAGGTTGACTCAGTCAGTTAGGAACATGTGTAAGCACACATTTATTGAATTCCACAGGTTCAAAGGTGATCATGACCTGCTCTCTGCCCAGGAGCTCGCAGTCTGAGGAGAGACGGAAACATAAAAGGCACAGTTGTAAAGATATTTACATTTCTCTGCCCCATTTTCCTTTTGTACGTACACCGTAGGTTTTGAGGAGTGAATTCTCAATGTATGTACTGTTTCTGTTTTTGCGTTTACTATATCAGACTTCAACCTGGAGTAGCTGATGACTTTTCATGTTGTGGATCATCTCTGCCTTCCAGGTAGACAGAAAAGCAGGTGCAAAGTCGGAGAGAAAGCTTGGTGGGAGAACAACCTGAAAGTTTGGCATGATTGTGATGTAATGTAGAGAGTGAGTGGGAGAGTGGTGAGAAATGTGGGAGGGTATTGCAGTGTGGGACCAGGCCATGCAGGGTATTGGAGCCCAGGATAAGGAGGTAGGATTTCATTTTTGAACAATTAAAAAAAATAAGTCCACAGAGGGGTTTTAAGCAGGGCCGTGGATTAATTACTTACATTTGTGGATTGGTGAGTAGGTCTGTGGAGCCCAGTTAAGAGATTCCTGGGATCTTCTAAGTGAGGTATGATTGCTGCCTAGGAATACATGTGGTAATGGAGATGGAAGGAAGCGAACAGATTCTCAATATGTATTTTTTTTTTGGAAATGGAATTGACAGAGCTTTCTGACTCTCTTAGTCTGTTC